TGTTATATATACATATATAAATTTTGTTCAGTTATCAAATGTAAAAATTTTACATATATTAGACTTAAAAGTAAAAAAAAAAATAAAAAAAATTAAATTTATTCCATTTAAACCAAACGTATGTAAAAATATTTTAAATATAAGATCTAAAAAGCACTCGAAATTAAACTTGTGTTAATTTTATAACGTTAATTTTAAAAAAAAATTAAAAAAATAAGTGTGAGTAAACAAATTTTCTAAAAAGAAAATAGAGAATGGAAAACAGGGAATGAAAACCGAAAAATTAGAAAACAAATTCTGTTAGTAAATGTATCCCTGGTCTCTCTCAAATCTATTTCTCAATCCAATTTAAGCTCCAAAAATCTTGCCTATAAGCTCCAACTATTTCCTAAACTCATTACTCTCTACTCTTTGGTCTAAATGTCTTTGGGCCCATGGCTCCATCATTCATATATGAACCATGAAACTCAAAAATGGTAGTCTATCATATGCATGCTGTCCGGCGATCGATCGAGTTTATTTGTCTATTTTGGGAAGACTGAGGAATTGTAATTTGGTCTCTTTGGTAGTTGGGTTTTAACCGTTAACCCTAGATATAGTTAGGCAAAAAACATGACAGCATAAAAAGCAAATGAGGTTTCCTCCACAACCCGGCCGCGCACACAACACAATTACGATTAATTACGTGTCTTTTAGTCATTTGAAAGATTAACGTAATCGCATATATAGCTTACCTTAACCATGTCTGTCTTATCTCAAAGTTGGTGACAATCTTCAAACTGAATTAATTGCCTAAATGTACAAGTGATGTTTGCCCAGTTTTTTTCTTTTTCTCCATAACCATCATGCGCTGTGATGCCATGGGTCACGATGTTCTTGGTTTCTTACGCCACGTGTTGAGCTTATCAATTGTGGGGTGACGCAACCATGATTGCAAGTTCTGTGAATTTTAGCAGCAAAGAACAAACCAGAACGACATGTCCCAGATTTATTATTTGGTTAGTCTGTCAGATGATGTCATGCTGTGTTTAAATTAATAAAGAAAGAATCTTTTGTTGGATGCGTTCGTATATTGTCATCATAATCTTGGTTTCTAATTAGTTTTTTTTTTTTTTTTTTTGGTTGCAGAGGTAAAACGTCAAACCAACCCATACCTAGGACCAGTCCAGATCAAATTAATATATTCAATCTTTAGGGGTTGTTTACTTCATTTCTCTGTTTTTCCATTTCCAGTTTTCTATTCTTCCATTTCTCCAATTTTCTTTCTCCATTCTTCCAGTTTTCCATATTTCCATTCCTCTAATTTTTTATTTTTCTGATTTTCTATTCTATTAAAAACAATCATCCCATATAGTATTTGTATATTTCTACAACAAAGATAATAATAATAATAATAATAATAATAATAATAATAATAATAATATAATAATAATAATAGTAATAATGATAATAATAATAAGAATAGTAATAATTTAATAATAATAATAGTAATAATTTAATAATAACAACAACAAATTCGTGTATATAAGTAGGAGGAAAATGAAAAAGATAATAATAATAATAATACTAATAATAATAATAATAATTTATTTTACAAATTTAATTTTTTAATAAAAAAATTCCAATACACTAATACTAAATGTATAAAAGGTAACAAAAATTGATAAAAACATATTTCTAGATAATTATAACTATTTCAATCATTTTAGTACATAAATAATAATAATAATAATAATAATAATAATAATAATAATAATAATAATAATACTCCGTAATACTCAAAATAATAATAATAATAATAATAATAATAATAATAATAATAGTAATTAAAGGAAAAAACGCTAAAAATAAATAATAATAAAAATAATTTTGAATGTGAAAAGCACAAAATGGGAAGTAAAAACTGTAATAATAATAATGAGTAATTAAAACGAAAATGGTAAATAATCAGTTGTGGGCGGCTGTGCGCAGGGAAGGGGAAAAATAGAAAATGCATGAATATACGCTAATGTGCCATTTGTAGGAATCGATCCATGGACCTTAAGGATGGCACTGTTCACACGCGCGCACCTTCCTCCATTCTTCCATTAGGAGAACTTTGTTTATCTATTCTCCAAATTTAGTGAAAAAGTGGAGAATGGAGATAGAATGTAAATTTGGAGGAAAGATTTTAGTAAACAAGTTTTTCATTCTCCATTTTTCCACTTCTCTAATTCTCCCTTTTTTTGAAAAATCCTCCATTCTTCCAAGTTAGTAAACGACCCCTTAATTTCTTGAAATAGATCATAGCATGCGTCATCTCAGAATTTGCCATCAAATAATTGAGAAGATAAAACAGCCCAGAAAGCCAGAAATTTAACCCTATATTTTGATTAAGTAGATTTGGTTCGTTTCTGATTGAGGATGAGTTGACTACGTATTATGTTAATCTGATCTCTAAGCTTTTGGCATCTATATGCTCTAGCTTGAGGGAGTGTTAGAAATTATAGTTACAGATTTTTATGAGATAGAATTTAGTTTGTTAATTTTTTACTATATTCTTAGATTTAATTACAGGCTTTTCATTGTATATTAGGATCAAACTAGTCATATAAATTGTTCTACTTTTATATTAATTGTCATTCTACAGCTATTTTATTATTTTATTCTTGTCTTTTCTGCCGGTAGTATAATTAGCCACCCGTTGAACTCTATTTAAATATAATTTTAACAAAGTAAGTTAGCTTGCGCGACAACTTTATCTTTTAATATGAAAACTTAATTTTATCTTTTATATTTAAACCATCACCATTGAAGGCATTTTGTTGATTTTTTTACAGCTTTTAAGTGATGTGGAAGAGAAAGGAGAGTGGAGAGGGTTCGTTGAATTGTTATTTGGGGTTTTAAGCAGCTTTTGTTAGAAGCCGTAGGGAGGCAAAATTAGTCCTTGTAGAAGTTGCTTCATCTACTGATGCTCCAGGGTAAGGGAGGTAATGGTGATGAAAATAAAGTAGTTTGGTAAATTTTTTACTAGACTTTATCATTTCAAGTGTAAATTTTATAATTGAAATAATGAATCTCTCCAATTATTCGTACCACAATTACCAAAATGCCTCTAATTTATGTTACATGGTCCGTCCTATCATTTTATAAGTCGGAGCAAAATAAATATAATAACTCTTAATATATTAAGTTAAAAGATTAGATGGATTAACTGAAAATAATTAACTGATAATTTTGAATTTTTGTAAACATATATTTTTTTTATTAAATAAAAAACACTTTAGAATATTCTTGGAATAGTGTCCATTCAAACTTTGGGTTCCTGTATGAAGTGTAATTATAAATAAGGGGAAATCAACGTTTTGGTCCCTTAATTGTTTCCCAACTATCAATGTAGTTTTTAGTTTTCAATTTCAACCAATTTAACTATCAAATTGTTTAAAATTTCGTTAATTATACCCTTTCAGTGACCAAATTGATGAAATTTTTAAAATGTGAAAGTTACCATTTTGGTCCCTGAAAGGTTTTAATTGATGAGATTTTAAACAATTCGAGGATCAAATTAGTTAAAATTGAAAACTAGGGACGACATTGATGGTTGGGAAACAATTGAGGGACCAAAATATTGACTAACTCTATAAATTAATTCAATGTTTGCTAATATATACAGAGTATTTATTAATTTTAACTTCATCAAAAAATAAAAAACCAAGCTAGGGAAGCCCTCCCAACGTTGGGCCCAGGGTGGATGCCCATCTCGCCCGCCCTGCATGTTAACGATGCCTAACTAATAATTTATTATTATTTTTTTTGTGACGAGGAAAACTCACAACTATTACCTTAAGGTGTGTTGTGAATTGAATTAACCATGATTTTTCAACTTGGCCACAAACCTGGGGGTGTGGTTGAGTAGAAGGGACTCATCTATCATTAATCAAACGTCAATGATTCGATCCTTGACTTTGGGTATGGAAATGGGTACACCCAAAAACAAAAACAAAAAATAAAAAATAAAAATAATAAACTTGGCCACAACTAATAATAGTAATAAACACAAAAACTCATTGTTAGACAAATTAGAAAGTTGATCGAGGACACTACATGCTTAAATTACTAATGAGGGATGAAAGAGCTATATCATTATATCGTTGGAATGACAAAATATGATTTTTTTTTTCTTAATTAAATAGAGCTCGATAATTTTATGTAACTAGAAAAGAATGATGCATCTCGTCAAAAAGAAAAGTATATGATGCACTAATTAATTAAATATGTCATATACTCATATCAACTATGTGCCTTTACAAAATAATAATAATAATAATAATAATAATAATAATAATAATAATAATAATAATAATAATAATGTGTATGTTAGTATATCTAGTTATTATACGCATCATATCAATCAAAAAATATACATAAAATCAATTAATACATAATTATTGTTTTATTATATTACTTCTTTATTATTATTATTATTATTATTATTATTATTATTATTATTATTTATTGGTAATGTATGTCATACTCTATGTTATATAGTTATTAGTTAGTTGTTAGTTATATAAACCTAAGAAAAAGAAGTATCCTACAACAGTACAAGTGTACAACACAAACAAAAGAGGATCAATATAAACATATATTTATGTCTGAATACCACAGTTTAAATAGGATTAGTTCAAGACATTCCTTATAAACATTCTCATTTCTCAATCTGGCCTATACACATGATCCCGACATCTCTTATCACGTCTTACTCTTATAAATTGTAAAATTTCATAGTCTCAAATGGATAACTTTAAGTTAAGATGCCGTAAGTTTGATCTGTACGAAATGATATGATTCGATTAAAATTATTCTTTCGTATGGTGTTGTCCAAACCAGAAACCATACCCCTAGAGTCGTATGGAAACCATCAACAAACCAATAATCCTCCGTTCCCTAAGTCTATAAATATTCATTTCCTTGTATCACATCCATACCTACAAATTAAATTCCTCCATACATTAATTAAT